GGAAGTTTAAATACCTCTGCTAAAAAATCCATGTATCTTTTCTATGCCAAAAGTTAAGCATCAGATCCTCTCCTTTTTCTTTATATCTTTCAATAGAACTTGGAATCCCCATTAATTTTGCTTCCATGGTCCACCCAAAAATTAAGGTTCTCAAATCATTTCCACCACCTTCCTAAAATCTAACACCTTTGCACACTGAATATTCAGAGACATGTAAGAAAGCAATGAATGTCTCGACAGTCAATACTACTTCAGCATATGTAAAGTCATATCCCCTCACTACAAATGTTTTCCTGATTTCGAATTTCAATAATACACTGAAGATCTTGAACAACATCTTTCATGGTAGGCCTATCACTTTTCTTCTCCCTCACGCAGGCAAATGCAAGCTCTGAAAAAAGTCTAATGCTTCTTACCGTATTAGCTAAAGCCTCCTTACCCAGCAGTTTCTGATCCACCACCTCCATGATTGCACCATTCCTGGCCCGTTGGCTCGTGTAAATCGTTAGGTTGACATCATCTTGATCTCTTGAAAAATCGATAGCCTTCTGGGAAGTCAGAAGCTCAAGCAATACAACACCATAACTATATACATCACTTTTATCAGTCAACTGGTAGTTTCTGTAGTATTCAGGGTCTAGGTATCCCAAAGTTCCCTGCGCACAGGTTGATACATGGCTCAGGCCTGGACGAGCCAGCCTCGAGAGCCCAAAGTCAGCAACTTTTGCATTGAAGTCATCATCTAAAAGTATATTTGTTGACTTGACATCTCTATGGTAGACAGGAGTGTATGCTGCAGAGTGTAAATAAGCTAGAGCCTCAGCAGTTTGTAAAGCTATTTTTAGCCTTGTTTTCCACTCTAGAAATGTTGACCGCTTGCCATGTAAGTGATCGTAAAGGGTCCCATTTGAGATATACTCGTAGATCATCAATGGTTGCTCGGCTTCTACACAGCAACCCAAGAGTCTAACCAAGTGTTTATGATTGACCTGAGAAAGAATCTCAACTTCATTAAGCACTTGTTGGGTGCTTTTGATGTTACCCAGTTTAGCCACCTTAACAGCTACAACAGTCCCATCTTGGAGCTCACCTTTATAAACTTCTCCAAAGCCTCCACTTCCCAAAATCTTGTCTCTTGAGAAACCATTGGTTGCTTTCTTCACCTCTTTCAGGCAAAAAACTCTTGCAGATTTCCCACCATTGCTTGCTTTCAAAATCTCTTTTCTTGCTTCTACAAGCGTAGCCTGGTTAGAATTTTCGCGCAGTTTTCTTGCCACAATTGTTATGATTGCTACTGTTACGCTAAAAAAGGAGATTACCCCCACTGAGATCTTCAATCTAAAGCCGACATTGGAGTTTCTTTTCTCTCTCGAACAGGCTCCAAGACTATTATCCCAGTAGTAGCCCCTATTGCACAGGCAACGAAACAGGCCATTACTTCCAGCAGACAAACATTTTGAATTCTTCAAGCAGTCAAGTTGTCTTCTGCAAACTGGTTCAGATGGAAGAGACCACTGAATTTCCAATCCCTCCACCCATTCATTTGCAGGCTTTCCAGGATCCAAATGAAGGATACTCCTAAATGCTCTGCAACCTGAACTATGCAGCCTTATCTTGTATGCTGAAGGCAACCCACCCGCAAGAAAGGTGCAACAAGGGCGAACTTCACTTGCACACTTAGATGCAAGATTTGTGGGAACATGTCCAGAATTCTCCAGGTAACGATGACTAATACTGGATGGAGTGCAATTTAAAGGAGAGACCAAGAGCCGGGGAGAGCAGTTAAAGATGAAAATTGTGTTTGAGGAAGTGATGTTAAAAGGGAGTGTTTGGTCTAACCAAATGCCCTCACTTAGAGGCATGTCTTGCGTAACACAAGTGTCAGGTAAATACTCCAATGGCTGCACCACCATTCGTGAAACGAAGCCATGATTCTGAGAACAAAGTAAGAGCTTCCATTAACTGCATCCAAGTACAGTTTTTGAGTATGGGAATCACAACGAAGAGGATAGTCAGGATCACCACAATTGGTGTTTGTGCTTAAGGGATATGGAACTTCCATGGAGCCACAATTTGGACATACTTTTGGGGATGAAGTAACATAACATCCAAGGAAAAGAAGAAGAAAAATATGGATACAAGGCAGAAATGGTTTGGCATTTGGGTTAGTTGTGATCATCTTGCATTAACAGAAGGATGAGAATTGAAAGGATTATGGTACAAAGAGGAAGAGTCTTGGGGTAATAAAAGGCAAGAGAAGGGGAATAAAGTAGGGTAACATAATAATTTGAGAAGTGGTTTCAAGAATCAAAGAGAGAAAGTTTTGTCATTTATAGACAGGTAGATTCCTTTATGGCCTCCACAAGATGGAATTTTTTCAGTCTCTAGACAAGAAAAGCTGAAACTGATGTAGTCTTTAGTGCTCTCTCTAATGGTTTTTCAATTTCCTTTGTTCTTACTTTATATTCACTTGAATCCCATATCATAAAGATAGCAATTAAAAAATGACCTTGAAAGGGAAAATTCTACAGCATAATTACTTTCACACTATGCTAATTACTCGTATAACCATACATGTGGATATAGTAAAAACACTTGTTATGTACCTAACAGCTGCAAATTATTCTGCAACCAGTAACACAATTTTTTATCAAGTTGTGTTGTAACAGAGTATAATTTTTGTTATGAGGCCAGGATAAACAGTGTCCGAGTATTTTGTTATGTTGTGTTATAAAAAAATACTTTTTTATCTCAAATTTTTACTTGGTAGAAACTTTCTACTAGATTGGATAACAAAATTTGTCTATTACTATATTTAAGACTACTAATACAGTACAGAATGCCATTATGTAGACTTGCATTATACTTAAATAATACAGTACCGCATACTTTCTGCATTGATATCTTTGAAATTAACAAAAAGAGCAGAGTGAATATGATGTTTTACAGAACAGTAACTCATAACTGACATCCAACAGTAATATTTAACAAAGGGATAAAGCAATAATTCACAAATGAGGGATGATTTAGAACAGAGTACAGTATGAAATCTAAGGGACTGACTATGGTACTTCCAACACATGCTTATAGTAATAATCACTTATAATGTTAATGAAAACAAGCATTGCATAATAGTATCTCGGACCGAAGACCTGAAGCAATCGGATCAACACAGTACGGGATGGAAAAAATACCAGTCCACTTTTTCTGTGAAGCAATCAGCTTCAACTCCTTAGTTTTCATCAACAACCAACATCAAGCAGAAGAAGTACTGAACTGCATTAGCCTTCAACAATTTTTACAGGAGATCTGCAGAATAAAGTAATTATTAACCACCTGCCAAATGGATTACTTGTACAGGAAAGCCAATTGTTTTTTTTTCTCTTTTTGGTATAACCAACTACTTACCCAAATGGGCTTTGTTTGATGGACAGTAGCTCAACATCCAACTGCAATTTAAAGTAGAAATGGAACAGTCAATGTCAAGGAAACTAAAGGAAGGCATATAAGAACAGCAGAATGAAAGAAAAACATAACAGTGAACTTTGTAACTGATAAATTTTTCCACAAAAACTAATATGAGAAATTAAACTTTATTTGGAAAAAGAACAGAAATGACAGAGAAACGATCTGCAATATGGGTGCAAACAGCTAGCTCTCTATAGACGGTTCTGTTAGCCAAATGTTTAAAACTACTTGTCAACACTTAAGGAAAAATTCATAATCTAGCTTAATCATCTAACGCAAAGAAAACCAATGACTTAATGAGAGATGACAAAGATCTACCTCGATTGTTGCATTTGGAGGGATCTCCTGCACTCCTTTTTTTCCATAAGCAAGCTCAGGAGGAACTATTAGCAGCCGCTGCAAAATGAACAACCAAGTGAAGATTGATCAAGTTTATTAAAGTAGATCCAATCAGCTCTCTGTAATGCTCATCCAATTTCAGGGTTGAAAAGCACGTAATTCAAGATTAACTACCCTGACTCTGAGGTCATTGGAGGTGCTTGATTTTGATGGATAGTCTTCCATTTGAATCTCATTGTTGTTTCTTTCTTCCATTATGATATCAGATATCAAGATTATTACATGCCAGAAATGGTCTTACCTGACCTCCTACTCGCATTCCTTGAACACCTATATCCAATCCTTTAAGAACAGTTCCTCTCTCAGATTGGCCCACATCAAATCCATAAGGCTGCAAGCATATGAACTTTATCAAAAGAAAAAAATGGAAGTTTCAATTCCCAAACAAGAAAACATACTAAGGCTTTCAAGAGTTCAGGGGAATGCGGTACTTATATAACTCAATGAAAAAAGGAGATGTAACTTTCAATACCTACTACCTTATTGCCAATTGTAAATTCAAAAATGGGACAGTTTCAGTTCTATACAAATCTACTCTATACCCAAGAGTTGTAGGTTCTTCTTTTTCTTCATAAACCATGTTAGATTAGCATGGTATCCATGACATCCTTATGCACCTCTCTTTCTTAAAGGCATAGCTATCTGCTATTAACTGCAACATAACAGTTATTTAGTACTACTGATCTAAAAGGATGCTAAACAAATTCCTTAAACAGGCTCTAGAATGCTGGTCTAGATGCTTACAGAGAATGGTCCATAGCAACATCAATATAATCAATGGATTTACCACTTTTAACTGATCTGCGTTCATGAAAATATGTACCAGTCGTCCAGGTATACAATTTCTTGCAAGTGTAAGAAAATTGATTTTTCGAATCTTACCGTTCCACCTCCAACACCAAGTCCTTGTCGACTAGTCATAAAAGTGATTCCCTTCCATTTGGCAACATAATGAACCTACAGCACGAAAATTTTTTTAACTTATTGAAGGAACAAAAGTAGTGGTACTTTATGCAAAGTAAAAGTATTTACGGACAAACTTCTTTGTTGAAAACTATAAATGAATCTCCCGTAAATTAGCTATAAAAAAAATAGAAACAAATTTCAAAGTAGAATGGTATATCGTGAAGTATGTGATAGCTTCAATCAGTTAGAATGTCATTTTTCCCTCAAAGAATCGATTAGAAAGCCATGAATCGTACTAGAGTAATAAGTCAACTATTACAAACTTTGAAACACTGAAAATTTAACTGTATCACAACCGTACTGCAACCCGGGATCCTTTCACAGCCTCAAGTCCACCCCCAACCTTCACATCATAGTACCTGAATAGTATTGCAATCAGAATAATACATAGACAGTAGAAAATATAGGGAAATCACAGTTTTATCTTCGTTGTCTGACTTTCTTGCAGTCTTATCTATGTATTTTTTTCTAACTTTAATTCGTTTAACTTTGAACTTCTGTTCGATCTTGTTTTAGATTTCAATGAAAATGCAAATGTAAGAGCTAACAACTTTATGTGAAATAACAAAAAAAAAAAACAAATCATGGTTACTGAACCGTCTAAAGAATAATCACTGTATTTAAATTGTTACAAAACCAGACTTCATGAGCTGAAACTGTTCTCTTGGCAATATATATAAACACATATAGGTTTATAGGTTAGATGAATATAACAATAAAACTAATGTGCTGGATCCTCTTTAATACATATAGATAACAGAGAAAATTCTGTAAAAAAGACACAAAAAGCGTTGGGAAAAAATGAATTTCCTGGGTTTAACTGAGATACTAACTTGAGACCACTGGGGAGGGTTTTGAATTCACTCTCGGGTATTTTTGATGCTCTGAGCTGCAAAAGAATAAAAGAAAAATACCTCCAATGTCACAAATCTTAAACCCTTAACCTAGGAAATCCAAAAACAAAAAGAACCCTATACTATATACTCACTGCTCTTCTACTAGTGCTAACAGCCTCAGCCACATCACACAGAAAAATCCCAGCAGCTGCTCCCAACAAAATATATATATATATATATATATATAAAACTTGAGAATAAAAAATTTATAATTGCTGCAATCTTTTCAATAAATAAAAGTTTCAAGATTTTTAAATGTCAATTCAACATTATGAAGGTATAAATCGAAGAAAAGGGCTAAGAAGTGACCAGCTGTGAGGAGACAACCGAGAATTGCCCTCCTTGACTCGGGCCTGAAATATAAAGATTCTGGTTTCGCAGTTTCATTGGAAGAAGACAATGAGACACAGCGGCATCGCAGCACAATTAAATTCCTATTGGTTTGTTTCTTCCCTGCGGATACAGAGAAAATTTCACACCACTGTTAAACAGAACCCAGAAACTATATGTACTTCAATGTTAACATATAGAAGAAGAAGACGATGAAGAAGATACTTTGGAGGATGGAAATGGAAGAGAGAGGGTTGAGCTTGTATTGGTAGTAAGAGAATACAGAGAGTTCCATTGCAGAGTTTATTATGAAAAAAATAGCGAGAGTACAATTGGTTTTTGAGTTTTGCAGGAGAAGAGATATCTGGATCAATGTCATCCACATATGAAGATCCCTTTAAAATCATAAGTAAGTTGCTTGTGTATACATACAGACGTGAAATTATGTAACATACATATATATATATATATATATATCAATTATTCAAATAAATAATTATTAATTTTAAAATAAGATAATCGGTTACAATACGATTGGACTAAAGCCTATATATGTAACCAAGAGTATTTGAACATATATAAATATACATATTACGTATGACTTCTACACTGAAATTGTTTAGTATTACAGTCAAATTCTATCTTGTCTGAAGTGAGAAATCAAAAATACTAAATTACTTTCCATGCAATTTCAGGATTTTACTTCTGACCTCAATTACAAGTATGTCCATTTTTCAAATGCCAAAATTCTTACGTCAAACCCAGATAACATAAAACTTGTTAGTTTAAGATTCCATTACTGTGGCTACAATTGAAATTATATAACTTGCATCCTTCCTTTTTTTTATTGGAATTATATAAACATTGTACAAGAAATTTAGTTGTTTGCTTTCCTCAAATAATGTTATCTTAGCAGTTCATAAGGAATGTCATGTACAAAAGTCAAGAAAAATTAGACACTAGAACATTACTTTCTTGCAAGCACAAACATCTCCTCCTCTGTTTTATCAAACACAGAATGTCTCCCAAAGCACTTGGTTTCATTCCTATCTTTCTCATCCAACTTCGATTTCATTTTTTCGGCACCTTCCACCCATTTTTTCAGCTTCTGAATCAGTTTTCGTCTTTTTGAACAAATATGACTAACTGTTGTCGTCATACCTCCACAAGGCTCGCCTTTCTCAAACGCTAATCCATCCAATCCACACTCTCTGATATCTTCGTTGCCCTCTAGTTCTTGGTCCGGATGGTTTTTGATCGACTGGTTTTTTTCTTGCTCTTCACGTAACCTCATTAGTTCGTGCTTTAAGCACGCATTGCTCCATCGTAAGTAAATAAGTTCCTTAATATCAGCTCTTCTATCATTTTGAACAGCTTTGTGTTCTTCCACTAGCTTTTTGTAGTCCTCCATGGTGATTGTCATTCCTTCATCTTCGTCCTACAAATTCGAAATCTTCAAGAAGCTGGTTAGGTTAAAGAAACATTATGCAGTAAACACAATAAACTATAATCTAATCATGCATAATAAGACCAATATGAAAATTAAAGTATAAATTAATTAAATATTAAATGAGAATTAAATCAATCGTAATATACTAGCAAACCAAAACAATATAAACATTAACACATACTTTGAAATGTGAAAGAGCTTGTTTTTCTTCCGCTAAGTTCAACATGCTCAATACTTCATTCTTTTCCTCCGTCAGTTGGCCAACCATAGCTTGTAGCTCCTCAACTTCACCTTCGAATTTCTTGATAAATCCAGTCTTGATTTCCAAATCTTCGAGATTTTTTGAAAGCTCTACTTCTCGAGCTTTGATCTCCAAATCTTTTTCTCTTACAATCTGCAACTGCTCTCTCCATCTCCCCGAAACCTTGTTTACCTTCCTCCGAAGTAAAGAATTTTGCAATTTCAAGCTTTGAAGTTGCTCGAGAACTCGAAGATATTGGATCACCATATTCTCAAGCCTTCTGTTCTCTGCCTCCAGTGATGAAATATCTCTATCCAAGAACTCAACATAAGCTCTCTCCAACACCAACATGTTTCTAATCTCCATAAGCATGGATTCTTGCTCTTTCGAATCTTGATAGCGAGTAAACTGCATCTCTAATTCAGATTCCTTCATTCGGAGTTCTTGAATTTGAGCTCTTAGTCCTAAAATTTCTTCTTGATCAACATTATATTGAATTTTTGAACTTCCAGTTGAACTCGTTAACCGGTTAGCACTGGCCATAATTTCTTGATCTTTGTCTCTGAATTGATCCTCATGAGAATCTGACTCTAGGGAATTCTCGGGTAATGAGTACTTAGGACTCAAACCTCTAGCAGCCATGAATCTTCCACAGATAAAACCAGCCAGAGATATTGCCAAAGGAATGCCAGCTTTGAGAAGGACTGGCCTCATGATCATTTCTCCTTTTGAAGTTGAACTATCCATAATATAAATATATATATATATATGGTTAAACTACAAACAGATTTATTTACTCCGGGTCAAAGCTGAAATTTTCTGATGAACAAACCCAAAATCTCTATTGTTGGTTTCTTGTTTTGGATTAAGCTTTAAATGATGTTGCCTGATTAAGGTTGAATGTGTTAATGGTTTAAAAATAATTTAGTTAAAGATTCTTTCCCTTGGTGTTATTGTATTGCTTTCCTTGTTTTAGAAGGATAGTTTAGTTGCCTTATATTACTTTTTGAATACACTAAGGTAACCTCTTGTTGTTGTTCCACTTTCCTAATTAGTTTTGGGAATCTGATACCTAGTTTCCTAAATCATTCATTTTTAACAGATGGATATTGTCCTTCCTTAAAATTATTTTTCAAGTTAACCATCCATGGCCCAAAATATCAAAAGTATTTTCACTTGCAAAATGGATCAAAATTTCACATTCAAGAAATGGGTGTCTTATACATTCATTTTTAAGCATTAGTTTTCAATCTACGTTTTTATATTAATTATTTTATGTAAATTAAGATATATATATATATATATATAAATATATATACACACGAACGCACAACCCAGATAATTCATGCTGGCTAATACTTGCATTAAATATATTTATAGTGGTTACATGTTGAGACATACATTACAAATTTCTCAAACTTTTAAATCCCTAACTTTTTCCAAGTACACCCAACATATATTATTTTAATTTATGTTATTTTGTACTATTTTTTGGTTTATCTCAATTTTATATTTTCAAAATTTTATCTTATTAATTATTAAATATATTACAAATAACATATAAAAAATATAACATATATTCGATGTAATAACTTTAATTAATTTTAATATGTTAAAATTAATGTATAAATATAATTTTTTAAATTTTTATTTAATATAATTTTTAATTTTATAAATTATTATTTAATGTAAAATTAAGAAAAAATAGATGGATAATGAAATTTAAAATAATTTTGGGAGAAATGGTTAAAAATTTGGGTTCTCGATGTGTTTTTGAAAAAAAATCAGAAACTGATTGTCAAAACGCAATTTAAAAAAATTGTGCCACGTAGGACGCCCAGTAAGCAGCCCCAACGAACCGGAGCGCGCTGCGTGGCAAGGCGCGCTGACGCGGTGCACGCGGGAGGCCATGTTGACGATCCGCATGCCCCCGATCGGACGGTCCGGATTTGTTCCTACGCGCACGCGCGGTAGATGTGATCGAACGGTCACGATTAAATGCCATAGACGACTCAGATCTACTTCCTATTTAAACGCGATCGATGGTCCAGATCAAATTATGATGAACGGTCCAGATTCATTTCTTATTTAAACGCAATCGGACGGTTCAGATCGAATGCGATGGACGGTACAGATTAAAAGGGGACGGATATAAATACCTCTCTTAATACCAAACTCTAACCCTAGCCGCCAAACCCACCAGCCGGAAAAGAAGAGCCAACCGCCGAGAAGGGAGCCGTCCGCTGCTTGCCCCCGCACCGGAGCCATTTTCGACTGTCAAAAGAGGTAAAAAAAATTTCATTTGCTCGAAATTCAATTTTGAATATCTCCTTGGCCAAATCGAAGCAAAAGGATTGAGGATGAGTCAGAAACTACAGGTAAAACCCAGCAACACCGCAGCAGAAAAAAGCAAAAACTGTCTCTGATGAGACCCTTTCCGATTTTTATTTCGTGTAATTTTTCTACCATTGTAATCATCATTCCTTTCTCTACAAGTTGACCGAAGCGAAACACCCAACCGCGAATGTGAGCTGACGGAGCCGCCTCACTGGAGAACTCCGCCGCTAATAAGCTTCAATTTTTTGACTTTTTTTGACCAATCGAGACTTCTTAACATGTTTTCTCGTAGAAATTTGTACAAAATTGGCCGAATTTAGCCAAAAACGATCGAAAACAGCCGACCCGAGGCAAACTGCCGCCACAGGTGGTGGTACCATCGCTGGAGCACGGCGGAGCCGCCGTGTCAGAATTCTGAAATTGGTCAAAAATGGTTCCTAACACTTATTTGAATTTTTTGGGGTATTTATAGGTACTTGAAGCGCGTTTTAATCTCCGAAAGAAAATTTATAGAACTTAAGGACCACCAGTAGGCGCAGTTAAAAGTTAGCATTTTGGACATCAATTTGAGTAAGAATCTCTTACCTTATTCATTATTATGGAATTGAAGTTTAATTTTAAATAATATGATATTTTGTGAAACTTAGAAAATATTCATAATTAATTACAAGTTATTAATAGAGGCGAACCAATTATTTATTGTTATTTGTTGTGTTTAACTGATTGCCTGATTTTACAGTTTTTCGAATATATAATAATACGCTGGAATTTGTATGATGATGCGATTGTGTTTTCTTTGATGTATGTATTGCTTGTTTTATGTGATTACGGTTAAATTAGCAAACTGAAAATTAAAGGTAAAAATTGTTTGATTAAGTAAATGAATGAACGGTAGCCTTACTAGATATACTGGGAGATGGTGGACGGATCGGGTACATAGGGAACCCTATCGTAAATATTGTTTCATACCACACGGGATATTTAGAATTGATAATTTGGCGCTCATGTCGGATGGAGTATAAGGACGATCCATTTCACCCTCATACCGGATGGAGTATTGAGAGATGGTATCTTTTGGCGCTCATACTGGACGGGGTATGGAAACGATCTGTTATTTAAAAATATTGAATAAAAGTTCACATGTAGTAAGGATATCCCTATAGACTTCCATGGATACTAGTAGGCTGATAAAAGAGAAAAATTGTTGTTACAACTGATTATACATGAGATTATGGTATTGTTTATGTTCTTAACTCTATAGGTTGGTTTTAAAAATCTAACTACGTTAAGTGTATAATAAATAATTTTTTTATAAAAAATAAATTTACTTAAATTAAAAGCTCAATT